ATTTTAAAATTTCATTAATGATCTACTACAGTATATAAATAATCTTACTTTAGGTCTAGGACTTATTAACCGTAAACTGTATATCTTATTATACGCAATTGACATTGCGTTAATAGCAAAGTCTTCAGAAGATTCACCTTAAAGGTGGTTAGACTCAGATTTGAAGTGAATACTCTCAAATTTTCTGTATACTATCACGACTTATATATTGCAATACCATTTCACACAAAAATAGAATTAAAAACTTATTTTATCTAGAAAAACTACGAATTCCTAGACGGGTTTGAGTAACACATCATTGCACTTTCACAAATTTTATCTTTATTCTTAATATTCAAGAAAAGAAGCGATTTTGTTGTGTATTAATGAAAAAAATTACATCCATAGTTCAGAAAATTCAGAGTAGAAATGTGCGAAAGCAAACCCTCTCAATAATATCGTCAGCCTGTGCTCAGTGTTGTGTACATAGTTTAACAAATTGAATACACCCGTGAAACGTACACTGTTTTTGTAAACAGGACACGAGCTCTGTTATTGTTAATGTTTACGATTCACCGGGTGTGTTCAATTGTTAAAGTCTGCACACACCACTGAGCACGGACTGACAATACTGTGAGTGGGTTTTGCTTTCGAACATTTCTACTCTGAATTTTCTGGATTATAGTTTTAATATTTTTCATTAATACACAACAAAATTGCCACTTTTCTTAAGTATTAAGAATAAAATTAAAATTTGTTTATTTTATTTTAGTATGAAATGCTATAGCAACATATAAGTCAAGAAATTATACAGAAAATTTGAGAAAATATTAACTTCAAATCTGTGTCCAAGCACCTTTAATTAGAAAACGTTTGCTTCAACAACTGCACAGCCATGTTGTTTAATAATGTAAAAAAGAACTGTGATTGAAAGAAATTTTCCGGGAATGTATAATTTACCTTTAGAGTTTTTAAAAATTACAACGCTAAAATGTTGGTGGTAATTTAATAAGACCATATGATCAAATCAGGTAAAATTTTGTAGAGACTGAGTGCTAATAAGCAAATATTCAGAGAGTATAGAATAAATTCCGCGAACAATTCGTCCCGTCATTCCCGCTTTACAATTAGTGTAACTATTCAGAGGCCCAAGCTAATGTCGAGTAAAAACATAAGGTCAGTTTTGGAATTGATTTCAGCATTTATCCGGAAGTATACGGAATTTCGGAATGAACTTTGGCAGTAACGTAGATTGTTTATATGTGAATACTTATGATTGATTGATTGGTTGTATGTTGTTTTACGTCCCATTCGAGAATTTGTCACTCGTATAGAGACGTCACCATATACCAGTGAAGGGCTTCAAATTATGACCTTTACTCAGCACTCAGGGCCATTGAGCAGTGAGGGATCTTTATCGTGCCAACTTCTGCCGTGACACGGGGCCTCGGTTTTTAAGGTCCCATCCGAAGGACCTGCAACTTTCACTTCAAAGTGCCGAGTGCATGGCGAAGGAACAGTTGCTACCCATTTTTTATCGACTTAGGTCAGTCGCGGCCGAGATTCGAACTCACGAGCTCCCGATCACGGAGCGGTGAATAGTTATGAATACAAAGTAAAGTTGAAGACGTAAGTCTGTTAAGAGAAGAAATTTTTTAAAAGATATTTCCTATATATTTCTATGTAAATCTTTGATCCCCCATTGTGGCCCCTTCCTACCTACAGGTGTCCAGGTTTGAACGAACTTGAATCTACAGTACCTGAGGATGCTTTCATATTATTAGGACTAATTGTGGCTTTATTGTTCTTGAGAAGAAGATTTTTAAAATTTATATATTCTTATGTAAAACGTTGATCCCCCATTGCGGCCCCACCCTTCCCCGGGGGTCAAGATTCGAGCAAACTTGAATATACACTATGAAATGAAGGTTTCACATAAGTTTCAACTTTTCTGGCCCAATGGTTCTTGAGAAGAAGAGTTTTAAAAGATGATACCAAATTTTCATCAATTCTTAATTATTTCCCTTTGGAAAAGGGCGTTGCCCTTCATTCGAACAAACTTGAATCTCATTTACCCAAGGATGCTTTGTGACAAGTTTTGTTGAAATTGGCCTAGTAGTTCTTGAGAAGAAGTTGAAAATGTGAAAAGTTTACAGACGGACGCCAGACAAAATGTGATCAGAAAAGCTCAGGTGAGCTAAAAATTGAAGGGATGTTATTTGTATTTTTTATCCTTAGAATCGTACAAGTAACCGTAAAATTATTACACTGTTGTGAAATTTCTTTTTGATTTGCTGTGTTTTTCTACTAAACCAACTGTTAAATTGATTTGAAGGACAGATGATAGATTATAAAGTTTCGGACATATTTTCAAATTGGCTGTAAATGATGTAAATAATAAATTTCTAAAATAATTAGAAATGATAAACATTCTGTGAAGTTCAAAATTTCAAAATTTTACCTTTCTGCAACCTTCCTTATTAATCTAACTTTCTGTCACTTTATATCCCGGTATTAAGAATCTTTAAATGAAAAATTAAAACTTATGCGATTAAGCTTACTTACATTTATATTAACATGATTAAAGTTGTAATTTTCAAGATTTTTAAAATAAAATTTTGTTTGCTTTATCCATCCTCAAATGCCATTTTTGTGTATATATAATAATGCGAAGAAAATGTGCGCAAAAATAATGTAACAATGATGCTATCGAGATAGAACTGAAATTTAATGATAAAGAAAAGCAAGAAAAAAATTAAATCTTCAATACATTTTATTGTTTTTTAAACCTGGTTAATGTAGAAGCACGTTTGCGACTCATGAAATATGACTGTCTGACATGTCTGTGCGATTTACACGACAATATTGGTAACAAAACTAAAAACAAATCCTAATATGAAGTTGTAAGCCATAAATTGATCCATGCAACAAACCCACGATATACATGTATCGCGTTAATTATTAATATCAATAACCTGTTAAATACATGTGCAAGCTTTAGCTTTGAGTGTAAAATAAAAAAAACGGCCTAAATATTGCATCGAACTCACCACAATACATGGATGCGCTGATCTCAACAAATCTCTTGAATATTACTTTTTGTTTTCAATGCCTTTTTCCTTTCATCAACAGTCATTTCATTTTCATACTCTAATTACAATAATAACACCTTCTTCATGTGAAAAGTTGTGAGTTGAATCATTCTAAAAGTAAAGGCCCCATTTCTATAGTTAGAAATAGGGAATACCAAATATACAGTTGTATATAGGTAAAATGCATTATTCATGAGAATCTATTTATCCAACACGATAACGTGAGTCAACATGGATCTCGTATTGTGGAAGTTGATGTCATATATCTGCCTTCTTATGTCAGGTATGCTATTTCTTGTAAAGTCATGTTTTAATAAAATAATTATGCTGGTTATAAACTAGAGTTTAATTTTTTTTTCTTACCTTTGTATTTAGCTTAGCATATAGTTAGAAATGTAAATATTTGACCGTTAAAGTTTTCAACAATGTTAAATAAAAACAAATATTCATTATTTAATTGTTCAGATCGCGAGAGGATCATGAATTGTGCATTTACATAAAGCCTTATGTTGTTTTTATCGAAGGACTGTTATTATTTCCTCTTAAAATAAAAATAGAAATATTTATCACATTATTTACTTTCGGTTTAAAATTAGGTCCTTGGCAATGACAACGCTCTGCCGTATGTGTTTGTAACATTATTTTTTAAAACCATAATATATGCTTGTAAGTTTTTGATTCGGGTTAGGAATCATACTTGATATTTTTAAAACTGTATATTTGGATAACATGTGAAGAGATAATTTTTTACTCTACACCCAATCAACACTCTTTAGCTTTTTCAAGCGAAAACAATTATTCAAGTAGCATGGAATACATGTATTTCTTTTTTTTTTGTTTTACGTAAATATATTAAATACAGACAATCATAAAGCAAACTGGGAAGAATAGTTGACAGTTCATAATATTTCGGCCACAACAAGGCAATCAGACTAAATTGCCCGTGAGCTTTGCATATATGGTTTCCGTATTTAACCATATTTTCGAGAAAAATAAACAAGTATTCATTGCAATTTTATGGGAAATATCAGATTTTTGTAAATTTTAGCATACAATTTTTTTTATTATATTCACAGTGTTTTTGTCACAAGGTATCAACAACAAAGAAATAAATGAAGAATTCTGTCACGGTGAAACAAAAGTCATTAAGACAACTGTCCTAAATTGTGATGTAAAAGATATTCGAGTAACTGTAGAAAACGATTCTAATCTGATTGAACACTGCGTTTGGATCTCAAGTGGAGTAAGGTGTAATTATGGAACTTTTGATTATACTTTTAATCGCTGGAGTTCAGTTTCACTTTTTATCATGGAAAACATTCGGGAAAACAGTTGTGGGTTAATTCCACGTGTAGGGATGGAAGCACTAGCAACAGACTTATTAATCTTATACCATGTCGTAAGTAAATTCTCTCTTTCTGTGTCACATATTAATTTTTTTAACTTTTATTATTATTATTTTTTGGTTTTAAAGTTTCAGAATTTACAGTTATTGCAACGCATAACAATACACACGCTTTTTTGACCTGCAAACATCGTTACTTCAATTTGTCAAGAGGAATTCACATAAAACTGAAGAAAAGTAGAGATTTGGTCTTAAGCTGCAAATGGAACAAAATAAAATCAGCAACACAATGTCAAAGCAAAGAAAACGGTAGGTCAGCGCTTGTCTTAGGTGATAGTTACATTTTTATCAAATCTTACATCTTTTTGTAATGTTAATACTCATGAAATGTTACATAAAAATAAGAAAGGAATTGTAATGCACTTTAGAGTTCTTTTATCCTCGAGTTTGATTCTAATACCCTTCTTGCATTTTAAGTTTCTAAAGAATCTGCATTTAATAGATCGAACTCTTTTTAAAAATGAATATACATGTATGTGACAACAAAACAATCTCGTTTTTTGGCACCTTTCAGGACACATCCACAAAAATGGAATAGACGGCTTCATTACAGATTATCCGGAAGAGTATCAGTGCAGAATGGACGGACAAACTATTGACTTTGAACCGGAAAAGGTCTCCACAACCCCAGGTATGACTGAAAGAAGAAATTCTACAAACTTTAATATTTAATATGCCATTAAGCCTCTCTAAAACGAGGTTATACAAATTACTCTTTTTAAAGTAGGAAATCAGGCGACGGATAAAGACAGTGAACAAAGAAGTATTTCCAGTTTTAAATCAATAGGTAATGCATAATGACATTGAGCTTTTTGTATCTTCATGCCACCCTTTTATATTTAGTTTACATATAAGGCTATTCCAAGTGTTTTTCCCCTATGTAAAGCGTCCACCCTAAAATCACAAACCTATCTTTCTATTCGGGAAAACACACACCGAAAGGGGAAAACACCACATTATAAGAAGTAGACTTTCTCATCATTATCTGAGAATTTTCCTCGCATTGTAACAAAAATAAACTACTAGTTCAGTAAAATTAAAATTTTTGGTACACCACCCCCCCCCCCCCCAAAAAAAAAATTTAAAAATGCGATGCCGATCTCAAAAGGGTATATACATTGTTTTGCAAATATTTGTATTTGTTCATGTTTTACTGTATGTGCTTTTATATTTATAACTTAAACAAAAACAATCCATCCGCGGACGCAAACATTGGAAAACCTTGGAATGGCCTAGTATTTTTTTTTCACTAGACTTACAGCTTCTTCTTTCTTTTGTTAGGGAATTATACAACTGATACAATCAATGGATGTACAAGTCATTCTCTTACAGCAATAGCCCTTATGCTGTCACTGATAATTTCTTACAATGTGCAATATTTCATAGAAAGCGGATTCGTTTTTCTACCTAGTTGAAAAGTAACATTCTTCCATAGAAGAATAGTGAAGGAATCCCCAACCTTTTGGTGATCACTGAAGTAACAATACATTGTTAGCGATCGCCATTATCTTCTACATGGAGTGTGCCTGCATGAGTTACAATCTCTCGAGTCGACTATGTGATACAAATATCAATGTTTTATACTGTAATGGAAATTAGGACGTTATTTCATAAGTTCACTGTGTGTTCTGAACACTTTTCTTTTAATGAAAAGTCATCACTTCATTATCGGAAGACAATTCTTTTCTTCAGCGATTTGAACTTATTTTTACACTACGTCTCTTTTTTCATGATTTCCAGAATGTTAGAAGTTCACTACATCTTAAAATGTATATGTTCAGTTTCAAGTCAGATAACTACCTGCAAGATCATTACATTTCCGATATCAAAATGAATTCGACAAAACATTGTCTCTCTCACTTGTTTAAAGACCGAAAATCTAATGCATGTGTTAATACTAATAAAATGGCTGTAGCTCAATCTTTACCATCATTAAATAAAAATGAAATAAATATTCACCATTACTTTCCAAATTCATGAAGAGTTTGTTTCATCTAAGACCATATTTGCCAAGGTAAGGACTTTAAAGGGATTTTTTTAAAAATATTTTTATATTATGTCAATACTTCCAGAGCAGGAAGGTTTTTTTTTCTTCTAATCTCCATAGATTCAAAAGGATAAAAAATAAACTGTGTTGTGTAAACTTTTATAAACATTGAAAGAGTGACCAGCTTCTTGTCTCCTTTAGGACTTCTGATAAGGTTTCCAAAAAGCAATATCACTAGTTAGATTATACGTGTAAGTACGGGAATAGACGTAAGTATATTTTCAAGGTATATTCCGATCTTGCGGCATCCTCTTCTGCAGCTATGAAAATTGGTGTCTTATTAACGAACATTTTGAAAACTGGAGACTCGTCATCGTCAAAGAATTTCAGAAAAATTTTATTTCAGACATATTCAAGATAATTATTCAAGTTATTCCATGAATGGTGTATTAAACATTGATTAATGTAATGATTTTTTCGAAATAAATTCTTTGACTAAACCTGTTGTCAGTTCTTTTACATGCTACATGTGTATTTATACTCTGAATAGCCTAATGTCTCATGCCAGACTATATGAAAAGAATGGGCCCCTAATCCAAACATACCCTAAATGTGATGGATAAGGGATATTCTTGGAGCATAGCCTGGGGCTGGGGAGTTTTAAATTTCTTACCCATGTAAGAATGCATGGATTAATAAATCAGTTATTCAAATCACTTTAGACTCTGAGAGATTTAAGTATGGTGGTTGGTATTTATACTTGTGATGTCATCTGGGGTTTTAATTCTTTAAAAATTACAAGTCCACATGTTATTATTCAGAAAATATAACATGACGTCCATAACGATTATCGAGGAATAATTTTGTATTTAAGGACATACAAAGAAATAATACTGCATACTCATGATTAATATCTTTAAAAAGTGTTTATTGTATAGATTTTCAACTTTATTGTTTAAAATAAACTTTCGTTACAATTAACCCCCGTAACGTTTACCTGTAACCAGTATTGATTTTTCCCAGACATTAACATTACACCAGATTCGTGCCTGATCTAAAGTCGTGTTTTACCGTTTGATATACACCATGAGATAATGAAAAAAAGGTCAATTTTAGGTTAATTTATAATTAGTAATAATAATCAGTTATTTCCGTAACCGGTTTATTAGTATCTCTTTGGTTGTTATTTAACAACATAGAGATCAAAGCAACATATTACAATTATAACAACATACATGCGTGAGCAAAACATATAACATATATACAAAATGTGTTTATAATTACATCATAATTCTATATATATAAATGTTATTAACCAGGAGGTTTGACTCTCTCGTTTACAATTTTTATAAACGAACACAGTTTACTTAATAGCCTAACATTTTTGGAAGAGAACAATTCATTAAACTTTATAACATTTGGTCTTGAAACATAATATTTGGGAATATACATTTTTCTTTCATCTTTTAACTTGTTAGAGCATAAAATATAGTGAAATTCGTCACCTACATCATTTTCACATAAAAGACATATTCTGTTATCTCTTTCAGTACCTTCCCATCTTCCCGTTTCAATCGGTAGTTTGTGATTTGATGTTCTGAATCTAGCTAAAATTTGTTTCATATAATTATTTAAGACGCTATCTACATAAAATTGACATCCAAATCTTAAATTTGTAAATAGATTATATATCACACCTTTTGAGGAACTATTACAGTTTGATTCCCAATTTTGTTGAAACTGATCTAGTAATATTTGTTTCAAACTTTTAATTAGCCAAGCACTATTGAATAATTGGTTCAGAATCCATATATTGCTATACCCACAATCGTCTAAAATTGATTTCAAATTCTTTAACCATTTAGATTCATTTCCATTGTCAAATTTAGCACGAAGTAATTTATACATTAAATTACAATATTTTGATTGTTTTCCATGTAAAATTTTTGACCAATATGCAACAATTCTTGTTTTGATATGTACAGGTAATGTTGCCTTATAAACGCTGGTATATCGAAATTACTGCAAAAAGTTAAAATAGATCTGTATTTTATTGTTTTTTACGTTTCAAGTGCACTGATATGTATTAAAGAGAATTATTTTGTGTTGTTTGTATATTGTCACCATCTATATATGTGGCATTTTAATTAATTAGGTGTGCTAGCAGAACAAACGACATAATATCTCGTGAAAACGACCTATTTTTTCACGAGATCATATGTCGTTTTCACGACATAATTTATCGTTTTCACGAGATAATTAATCGTTTTCATGAGATAATAAGTCGTTTTCACGAGATGTTAATTCGTTTTCACAAGATAATATCTCGTTTTCACGTGATAATAAATCGTTTTCACGAGATAATATGTCGTTTTACGAGATAATATCTCGTTTTCACGAGATAATATATGTATTTTGTTTTCACGAGATAACATCTCGTAAAAACGAAAAAATACATCGTTTTCACTAGATAATATCTCGTTTTCATGAGATTTTATCTTGTTTTTACGAGATTTTATGTCGTTTTTACAAGATGAAAAGTCGTTTTCACGAGATTAAAAGTCGTTTTCACGAGACAATATCTCGTTTTCACGAGTTATTATATATGTCGTTTTCCCTAGATAATAAGTAGTTTTTCACGAGATTATATGTCTTTTTCACGACATATTTTGTCGTTTTCAGGAGATAATATCGTTTACACGAGATAATATGTCGTTTTCACGAGATAATTTTTCGTTTTCACGCGATAAACTTTTCCTGGTATCTAAAAAAAATAATTAAATGTCCTAAATGTACCGCCGCATTATTACACCTAGTCACAAAGAAGAATCCCTTTTAATTCATACTGGTTAATTTAAAACAGGACAAATGTAGTGTGTAGAATTACAAGTGTAAGCATAAACATATATAAATCAGATATTGGGGCTAACAATTAAAATTGACTCTAGCGAGCATAACTAACATAGATCACGTTATGTTTTAGACAGGTACATGTGATTCGAGTTTCCGTATATCAGTAGGTGTTGGTATACAAAGAAAATCTCTTACTGCTCAAGGGCCATTATGTGCTAAGTTCAGGGCTAAATGTGCAGCTCCCAACCTGAGAAAGATGGGGTCCCAGCATGAGTGAAAAATTTTCCAAGGGTAAATTAAGCAAGCAAACAAAAAAAAAATAAATAAAGATGAATGAGCTTTTTTATGTTTTTAAAATTTAAATCTCTCTCTCTCTCTCTCTATTTGAGTGTGTATGGATCTACTATAAAAACATCAACGACGGTATCAGATAGCCTAGCTGTTTTGTTTATTTCTTCTTTGAATTGCAGATAAAGTTCGTTAACTGGGACGTATAAAAAACCTTATGCTGAGTACTCTGACGATTTAGCACGTGCATGTAAAGGCGTGAATACAACAATTCAAACTGATGGAATTCCGGCTTAAAATACGTTTGGATTTTCCATATACTAATTTTAGATATGTAACTAAAAATACAAATATTAATCAGAGAGCATGGCGAGTTAATTGTCTTTTCGTTCTGCTTAAAAACATTTTGTTTACGTACCAAGTTTATATAATGTCTCCATATTCTTTTCATTGAGTTAATATATGTAATACTAGATTTGAAAAAAAAAATATTTAGAAGTTCAAGTATTAAAAATTTTCTTTTCTTTTAATCCTTTCGATTAAAGTTCGAAAAAGATTTTTAGCTGCTGGTTTTAAACTATAAAAATGTCTTAAATCAAGAATATTTTAACGCTGTTCAGATGAAAAACACAAAGCTTTGATCCATTCTTTCTTCCTCTCAGGCTCACTGATTACAGACCTTCCTCTCAATATGGCTGAAATATTGCCGACTCGCCGAAAAAAAAAATCAATCAATCTTCCTCTCAAGCTCACTGATTACAGAGCATGAAAAGTTAAAGTGTATTTCTCTGTGCCATTTTCATGATGTACCTGACAAAGTAAACTTCATTGTAAAACATAGACGCAAATAGATAATTAAATTTAATTGATTCATCGATTGACAGGTTTCGTTCATTTAACAGTTTACTATTGAAAAATCTTCCTAAGTAGATGAAATATTATCTATCACTTTATAGTGCGGTTGGATACACATTTTATCATAGATATTTCACTAATCAATGCATACAACAACCTGTCTTGAAGTTATTCGTTACAATTGATGTCCTCTTTTTCCAATAAAGAACCTTCTCTTTTTAATTATCAGTCACTGACTATTTAAATGTCGGTGCAATTTTAAAACAAAAATTTAAATAAGATTCATTTGTATAATGAGCCTTCTTTTATAAAAACTCCTGTGTTTCCCAGCAAATCGACCAGATAAAAGCACAGATGTCTACATTGTGTACAAGCACATTAGTTTCAAACTTTTCAAGGGAGTTAGCATAATACAAGTTAGAACGAAACCTTATCGAAACGTGTTGGTAGAATAACACATCGCAAAGATATTGCATCAAACAAATGGTATTTTTCAGGAACTTTTTAATCAACCTTGTCCTTGATAGAAAAAAAAAATTATCATTTCTTTTGTTGTCTACCCCCGTCTAATTGTTTACCGAAGTACGTGTAGAACGAAGAGACTTCAACTAGTTTATCTGGTTCTCTTTTCTCAGAGAGAGAGAGAGAGAAAGAGAGAGAGAGAGAGAATCCTTATTACATATATATGACTGTCATTACAATGGAATGTTATTATCTACATCTCGAGTATTTCCATCTAACTTCGCTGACGATTATCGACAACGACGGCTGCGATTAACCTACAAGCTACAAAATTATGTGTGGACGCAAACTATTTGAAAAGAGCACCATTTCGGCAGTACGCACGTATTCCAGCCCCTTCCCATTCTCTGAAGTCCCCGTCACTCACTCGTCAAAAATCAATGTTACTTGTCTTCCTCTAAAAAAATAGTTTTTTTTAAATAAAGGAATTAATCTTTCAGTCCATGGCTTTCACCGTAAATTTAATTCATGTCTCAATTTCTTATAATGCATAAGCACAAAAATGCGTACAGTGTGCTA